TACTGAGTTTTTATTCATATGAATTGCAAATATAATATCTTGAATGTCTTAGCTTCACATTTTAAGTTCTCCTACTTCCTCAACAGTTTCATAAACAACAAAGTTATTTATGATCTTTTGTTCAAAGTTCGAGGCTTGCAAAACAACCAGTTTTTCTGGGACATGTCAAAAAGGAAACTGAATTAATCCTGTAATTTCTTCTATTTAGTACCAAAATAACGTTAGTACCAAAATAACCAAATTCTTCTATTTAGTACCAAAGTAATAGAGGATACAGCATTTATCTTCACTGAGATTCAGCAAAACACTCAAGCTAATCCCATTGACTTTAAAATAACAAAACAAACCTGAACAAAACAAAACGAAGCAAAAAACAAAGCGTACAAAAAACCAAACAAGCAAGTAAAAAAAAAAAAGAGATGGGTATCTCAGATCTGAAGTACTCTAACACAATTAAGAATTAAATAGAATCTCAGTAGAATTAAGTGACCAATTCACCAGGAGTCTAGCCAGCCACATCCAATAAAGATCTGTACAATGCCATCATCCTTAACATCCCACGAAAGCCCTGTCAAACAGATATCCTTTGCAGTATGACCACAAGGTCACCAAATTCAACGTGTTTTGGCGCAAGCTATGGAAGAGTTTGTTCCAGAGTCTGAAGTAATCTCAGATGGTGCCTGCCAGTCACCTTTAAAAAAATAACTAGAGGGATCCAGCTATAGTGCCCCTGCTGACTGCAGCTGCTGCTGTCTGGCCTGGAGAAAGAGGTGATTCCTCATTCATTCCCACTGACTTCTGAAAACCACAGGGTCACACCGTTCTGTTCAGTGAAACTCATGTTTCTAAATATAAATTAAAAGTGCTGACAAACATTAATTGAACCGCTATAGACAGTCAGTAAAACTGTATTTAATAGTTTAAAAGAGACCTCCTTTTTGATGACTGTTTTCATTAGCATCATTCAATCTACCTGCATGCATTACAGTAGGCAAATTCATTCTGCTCATGCATAAGTGTTATTAAGCAACCTAAAATGTCTTTTGTCTATTTATAAAAATAAAGGTTTTATTAGATTAATTACAATAAATCAATGTTTTGTTTGTGTTTAAGTATCAAGAAGTTCTCCAAGTTAAATAACAGTATGCAACTACAAATGTCTTCAAAATTAATTATGAATGCAAGCCTTGGCTCAGAAAAACACTTGAGCACTTGCCGAAAACCCATTGACACTGAGATAAACAATATATTATAGAAGAGCAAACTTTCACCTTTTAGTGTCTAGAAGCAGCTTTCACACAGCTTGAGCAGTCCTTTACTGTTTTTTTTAAGCTTTGACCTATGCACGTGGTGATGGAAAAGGAAAACTATAATTTTTATGGTAGCAGGGAGACTGATATGCAGAAAGAGGAGTCTGGAGAGCTTTGGAGGATTGAAGGGAGAATGATGGGGGCGTTGTTGTTGGCCAACATCTAGGCACCATCCAGCTGCTTGCTACTAAATAGTCTGTGTAAGTGGAGGAAGCAAGAGCAGTTGTTACCCACTACATCATAAATTATCACATTGCCCAAACTGAAGATAGGATGAACCATGTTAACATTCTTCATTGTTCAGCCTTATTTCTTCTTGCCAGTGGAAAGTAAAGGCTGAAGTACAGCACTTACACTTTTAAATATAACATTCCTCTTGGTGAACAATAAAAACATTCATTTCACAAAGGCAGCGTTAGAATGAAGGTTGGTAGAAGCCTTTCCAATAGGAGTTCAGAAACAATCAATATAATCGGTAGTATCTTGTTACATTTTCATACAATCTTAGCCAAAGTTAGTTGTTTTCTGGAGGAAAAAGAGGAGTGAGAGGAGACAGTTGTAGATATTTCCATCACTGCTAATTACAAAATTTGTGTGCCTGTGCTGCCTGTGACCCATGTGAAGAATTTACAGAGGACTGCTGCAGTTTCCTGGTGCAAAGTGTGCTAGCCAAACGTCAAACCAAATATTATCTAAGCTATCAAAAAAGATATGTCTACAACTGCAGGAGATAAGGAGACAAAAAAGCTGGTTATTTTTGGGAAAGTGAGACCTTTTAATCAGTTATTATGTCTATATGCTCTCAGGTTTGGGGGGGGGGTTATTTTTGTTGGGGTGGTGTTCGTTTGTTTGGGTTGGGTTTTGATTTGGTTGGTTGGTTTTGGTGGTTTTGTTGGGTTTTTTGTTTGGGTTGTTTTTTTTTTTGGTTGTAGAGGTTTTTTGGGTTTGGGTTTTGTTTGGTTTTTTTTTGCAGGGTGGAATTTTCAGGTTTTTTGTCTAATATATTGTATGTACCACTGTCTTGTGTTTACCTGATAAGGTTTTGGTAGCAGGGGCCTGCAGAAGTGACCTCTGTGAGAAAACACCAGGAACTGCCCCTATGCCAGATAGAGACTGTTCCAACTACCTCTAAGCTGGACCCACTGCTGACCAAAGCTGAGCCCATCAGCAATGTTGGTAGTGTCTCTATGATTACATACTTAGGAAAGGGTAAAAATTGCTGCACAACAGCAACTGTCAGAGACAAGTGAGAATATGGGAGAGAAAAACCGCAGACACCAAGGTCAGGTGTTGGAGCAGAGATTCCCCTGTAGCCGTGGCGCAGACCACGGTGAGGCAGGATGATCCCCTGCAGCCTATGGAGGCCCACAGTGGAACAGAGACCCACCTGCATCCCATGAAGGACCCTGCACTGGAGCAAGTGGACATGCTTCAAAGGAGATGTGACCTTGTGAAGAGACTGCACTGGAGCACGTTTGCTCACAGGATCTGTGTTCCACTGGGGAACTCACGCTGCAACAGTCTCTTCCTGAAGGACTGCACCACATGGAAAAGACCCATGCTGGAGCAGTTCATGAAGAACTGCAGCCCATGGAAAGGACACACTTTGAAGAAGTTTGTATATCCCGTGGAAGGGACCCCAAAACTGGAACAAGGAAAGAGTGTGAAAAGGAAGGAATGGCAGAGACTGCAGCTTCCTTTTCCCATTCCCCAGCGTTGCTTGGAGGGAGGACGTAAAAGAGTTGGGAGTGAAACTGAGCCTGGAAAGAAGGTGGGTTTAGATTTTTTCTTATTTCTCATTAGCCTACTCTATTTAAATGGCAATAAATTAAATTAATCTTCCTCGAGTTGAGACAGTTTTCCCCATTATGGTACTTCATGATTGTTCACACAGTTTTTGTATCTTGAGCTTTTTTTGTATTCTCTCCCCCATTCTGTTGATGGAGGAGGAGTGAGAGAGTGATTTGGTGGGCAACTGGCAGCCAGCCAAGGTCAACCCACCACAACCATTATGAAAACAAGTGAAATATAATTATTATTATGAATTTTAATTATGTATCTCAACATTCAGAGAAACACAGACCACATGCCAAGACCATCAACTTAAAGCATTTGTTAAGCAGCGCTCACGGACTAAATCAATGGGACTGGTTGTTGTCTATTAACCTAGGGCAACCTCCTACTTCTGTACTTCAGTAAGAAACAACGTGAGTGATCAGATGAACCATTTGTCATACACAGTAGAATGAACTATTAAGCTTAAGGAACATGTCGTGTGCTAGGAAAATGCTGGTCAACTACGTGCTTCAGAAAGAAGATACCCAAAATGCAGAAACCCCAAAACACATTCTTAATTTAAAAACATTTGTAGTATCATTAATTGTTTCCAGTTCCTTTCTGTTTTGCTGGTTTGCTTTTTAGTTTTCCACTTAAGACTGTAGCCCTTAAGACTGTGGAAAAAACAGATCATACATCAAAACCTTTCTTTCCTTTCTCAAACTGTTGGAGAGAAAGTCAGCTGGGAAGGAAACTCATTATTCAAGCAAAAAACAAGACATCAGCATACCCTGATCTCATTTGTGCCATTTCCTGTCAAGCTATAATTTGTCTTTTCCTATCATCATTGTGAGCAGGGACTAATTTCTATGCTGGAGGGTTTTCTCTTCCTTGTGGAGCTTGATGTTCTCTTTTTCTAGCTTTTGGCATAATTATATTTGGAATTTGCAAGAGGGACTTCCAATTCAGTTTTAAAATTCTGTCCCATTGAGAATGCTTGGAAATGTGTCTCTATTTGCCATACAAAAGAGTTCAGATGCATCCACTACATCTGAAAAGATGTAGGGAAATATTTGGACATACTGGGTAGCTAAGACCCTAGCTGCAATCCAACATCATCTGTAGAGATGGTTGTCAAGCTCATACTCTTATGTTTCCCAGGTAGCCTTTATGTTTCCATGGTAGATAAATCTCTTGGCTAATATGATCATCGTGTTACCTAAGTGAAGATATTAAATGGTAAGGATATATCTACTCAAAAGAACATTCTCTGATCAAGCTGGTTCTTGATACAAAATTATTTGCTATCCTTCTGGAAATCTTTGTCATGATGAAGCATCAGCAGGCATATGATTAACATCTCTCATCTGTTATGACATGCCCCGTAAAATGCTTTTCTGCATTGGATTTGTTGTTTAACAGAATACAGTCCACAAAATGCAAGGCCAACTGCAAGTACAATATCTTGAAAAATATCACATACTCCTAGTCTTTCCCCAAAAACAGTCCCTCAAAATATAATATTAACAACATAATATTAATTTGTCAAAGGTGTTGAAGCAGGAAAAGAGTATTTTTTGCACAGTGCAAATGCAGATATATGATATATTATTTGCATGTATACACGCATATTTCTGAACACACATATATGTAAATAATCACATGCAGTTGTCTCGTTTTCCCTTTTAATTCACAGTTTATTTTTAAAGACTGAGCTCTTTGCAGTAATATTCTGGGTTTGAGTCCAGCAGCAGTGAGAGATTAAAATAGGATTGAAAAAAAATGGTGTTAAAGTGCTGTCTTTGTTGTACCTACACTTCAATTAACAATTGAAATGTTTGACATCAACATCCTACCACACTTCAGTTGCAAAATCATTACATTAACAGTACAGTTATAAGATGGGTATTTTTCTCCTTTTACAAACATAAGAAATATAAATTTACAAATTGGAAGTCTGGTGAGAGTGTTTTGCTGACCTGAGGAATATGTGACTGACCAAAGTCAAAGAGCAACACTGCGAAAGGCAATAGTTTTTGGTGGACCATCTCTCAGCCAACTGAATACAAAATCAGATATAAGCAATGAGCAGGATTATATTTTGTCACATCTAAGATTAAGCCGACTTAATACTCTTCCTTCTGAAAGCAGATATTACAGCTAAAACCTTTAAGAAAGTAGACTGCTTAAATATTTAATCTTTCATGTGTTTTGCATATAGCAATAGTAATTTCTTCAAGTTCTAGTAATAACTTTGTCAGTTTAATTTGAAAAAAACTTTGTATTAAGCATGTTTGCTTTAATCAGACTTTCAGTTCTTTGAGGGAAGTCAGTTGAAGCATGAAATGACATTTAATTTTTGATAGGGATCAAAGAGAAAAAAATTAGGAACACAACCACTGTTTACTGCTTATTACCTATAACAAGTTACAAACTGTTACTTTCATCATAAGATTTTTGTAAAGACAAATATTTATTTGACATTAATAGACAGGAATAACTGTTTCTAATAACATAAATACACATAGTTTATATTTTATTAAAAAGAAAAAATAGGATAAAATTTATTCTGACTATCCTAAGTGTGATAAGGTTTGACTATATGTGGTTGTATATATTTTATACATAAACATAAACATATATGCAAATATATGGATAAAACTGCAGGGTCTGAAATGGAAGAGACTCGTTTACTTGCTTAGTTCAGAACTTCCAAAAAATAATTATGCCATGGAATCTCTTTCAAATTACTTATAAGGTCTCTGGGGGGTCATAAAAAGAAAAAAAAAATATTTGGGAGAAGATAAAAATAGTTCTGAGAACCTAACAACTTCTGCTCTAATAGCCCGGTTGGCATCTTTCAGGATACTGCAGAAGGGAGGGAGGTATTCTGAAAACATTCAATAAAGGTGACCTTTGAGATACACCCAGAAGTGTTCTGAGTTGGAACCTTTCACTATTGGCAATACCTCACATGCTAATGTTGAAATCTGGATCCAGAGTCAAATAAAACTTCCAGAAGTTTGGTGTATTTGTAGTTTCACGAAGAAGCGAGACACTCACCAGGCACTTCAGTTCCAGACTGCGATCCAGAGACCGGGAGACATTACTGGTAGGTAGTTTGGTCCAGAATTAAATAATTCACAATAGTAAAATAAAAAATTATTTTTACACTGAGTCATTGTGAAACAAATCATTACCTCTTTGTCAAAACCCTAGTATTGTACTAAAGATGGAAAAATCCATCAGGAACTACAGTAATCTTTATTATAAATGACAGTAGATAGAAAATAAATATCATTCTTTTATGTGAAAGTTTCTTTCAAAATATCTTTCAAAGAGTTGGGACTCCATTGTTTTGGTTTTTTTGAAAAATAATAGGATTATGGAATGTATATTACTGATATTTTTATCTAAGACAGAAAAGATTGGGAAAAAATATCTTTCTAGGGCACACTCAATCTTCTTACAATTTCATAGAGGAGTGTTCAGTGTTAGAATAATACTTCTAAAAGTACAATCAAAATCATCCATCAGCTTGGAATTAACAATAGGGATGGTTATCTGGCACTAGAGATTTACTGAGATTTTGTTACTTTCCATTATTTTATAAAAATTTATTGAGATTTTCTGATGTTGAATAAAGCATCGCTTCTATAAACATACTTTAAACAAGAGTAAGCAGTTGCAAAAGCTCATGGAGAAAAGATTTAAACCTGAATTTCACATACCTACATGAAAGAAATGTCTTGTATGTACATGCGTTCAGAGCTCCTTTTTAATCTTCTTCATACCTTTTTCCCCCCATACTTTTTCAAATGTCTATCTATTCTCTTCCAGCACTTTTAAGAAATTATGATCTTTTTTCCCCTCAGATCAAAGCTGTAACTTTTCATGATGTTTCTCTTTAAGGCCCACTGGGAGTCTTGATGAGTTAAATTAATATTTGAATGTAAAATTTAGCCTCACTGGTTTTATTTACAATTAATTATTCATGATAATACACAATGAACACGAGCAGATATCTTTCTTTCATTCTAGTATTCCTGAAACGAAAGAGATTGAAAATGAACTACAGAAAAGGCTTAAATGACAAAGTTGGAAATATAGATGTGTGCAGTAAGAATCAATTATTTATATTCCACTAAAGAAACATTTAACCATTCATTCATCCTGAGAATACAGGCTAGTGCTTAAAGCACTTAACTGCATTATAGGAGGGAATAGTTTAGATCCACTCAGGCAGAGACAACAGAACTATTTGGGGCTCTCTCATCACCAGAAGTGCTCAGGGCTCTCCCTCCGGGCAAACCATCAACCATACCAGAGACTTGAGTCACAACCCTTTGCAGACTAGTTCTTTACTTCCATACCTTTGGCTTCTTAAAGAAAAATTATTTCTAAAGTTAATTTGTAATTTGATTCAAACCAAAACAGTTCTTATTTTACTTTTGTTTGGCACAAAGGAGGGTTAAATTTGATCTTTTCACTAATCTTTGCACAGGATCTTTTCACTTTTAATACAGATCCATCCAGGCCTGCCAACAGCGGGAGGGCAGTGTTTGTGAGTTTTGCTCTAAATAAATCATCATCAACAACACATAATGTCTCTGTAGAGATCATCTATAGCAAAAGCATCATACCAGGCTGCAAGGACAGCTCTGCACAGACAGATGCAGCTTCTCCCAGACTGTTGCTCGTGGCTGTTACAGGGACCAGCCTGCAGACAGAACATGGCTTTGACTCCACCATGTGGCCTCACATCGACATATGCGGATTGTCAGCAGAATAAACTCTGAGAACCGCTGCACTAACTTCCCTCATTTAAGCCAAGGGAAATATAGTAATTGACAAATACTGTATCACGGTTCGTATGTGAATGATACCTACAGAGGATGGCAAATGTTATATTAATAGCGAAGATATCAACATTTTTTTGCTGAAGATACGTTTCTGCTTCTGTTATGGTCTCTGCAGAAAAAAAATTGTGGTGTGATACAATTATTTTGCCATCTTTAGATCAGGTCTTCCCCATTTCTTGACCTTCTTCAGATTATAGTATAGCTTTTTTTTTTCCCTCAGGTTTCAGTTTGATACTTCAAAATAATGTCCTTGTTCCCATGTAAAATTACTGACAGTTCAAACATGACCAACAAGAAATCAATTGGACCAATTCTGCTCTAATCTACAGCTGCTTCTGCCTTCATTGGGTGATGGAGGTTAAAGGCTACAGACAACAGAGCAAGAAGTGATGAGTGGAAGAACTCATGAGGTGAGATAGTGAGGGCTACAATCACAAGGAGAAAACAGAATGATCAGGAGCCCATCTCATATACCTGATGCACACACAGCACAGGAAAAAAAATATGGCTGCAGATGTAGAGTGATGACACACCTGGAAACTCAGAGATACAGTGTGAGTCAGCACACAACTGGAGTGCTGGATGGATAGAAACTCTTTAGGAAGATCAGTCAGGGTAGACAAGTTGGGCAAGTATACTCTGTGCAAAAAAGTGGCTCAAATGCTGAATTCTATGCGATGGGTGGCATGACTGTTCATAGTCAATGAGTAAAAGTCTTTTGATCCAGGAGATCAACAAATAGAACATCCTCGTGGACATCTGCTACAGATCACCAAATCAGGAACCATGATGGGTCATTGTTTCTTTTTTTAGTACTTTAGTGCTCGTGGGAGCTTCTAACCACATGGATATTTTGTTGGGTGCAAGTAGTATTGAACATTTCTGGTCTGTGCTGGCAACAGTTTTTCATAGGTGCAGACGAGGCTAATAAAAGCACGACATTTACAAACAAGTGAACAGTCAAGGATGTAACAATCAGTGGCAATTTTGGCCACAATGACTATCCATAAAATGGTGGAGTAGTCCTGGCTGGAAGACCCGGAGGGTAGCCAAGAAGACAAGTATTAGAATAAACATCTTGGGGTTCAGAGAAGCAGACTTTTGCTTGTTCAGGGGACACATAGGTAGGATCCTGTCAGTACCAAACTGGAAAAAGTCCCAGGAGAGCTGGTTGATGCTCAAGGATAATCAATTTCCTCAAATCATATGCAGGAAGTCAAGCAGATGAGGCAGGAGATGAGGTTGCCTCAGCTGGAAACTCATGTCTGAGTTCAAACTGAAAAAGAGTAAAACCCCAATCCCAACTTTAAAAGCCATCACAAAAAGAATTATTGCTTTAGGCCCCAGTAAACAGTTTTAGCAGCAGGCATGATGCTTTTTGTATGTGAGACTTAATCACAAAATCCAGTTGACATGAGTTTAATAAAGTCAAGGGTCTTCTGTTTATTTGAGCTTTAACATCATCAATACTATATTTCATACATCAATACAACATTGTGAATATTTAGTCATTCTAAAGCAAATCAATTTCAAACTTATGCCTCAGTACAAGAGAGTTTTGTTTTTACTTTTTTGACAATATGACGAATGTTTTATTTCTTAATTATGTAGGAAGATGTATTACCTCTATTTCTTTTTTACCCCTCCATTTGTGCCATATTTGTACCACAAACATATATCCAATCATATGGAGCAGATGCCTCAAACCAGACATTTTAAATTTTGAAAGGATTACTTTTAGGAATATCCTAAACCTCTTAGAAAGCAGGAGTGAAGGTTATTACTAGAAAATTCTTCTTCTCACTTTGCTCAAATATTTATTTTTTGAGAAAATAGTATATGCAGTTTCAAATGAAAGTACTAAACAGTATTTGAGTTTTTTTTCTGTTTCTTTCTTGCAGCACATATAAACTTTCTTATTTTCACTTGCGGTTGTAATTTTAATATGGGCAACTTATACCAAGACCAACTGATACACAATTGAAAAAAGTGAAAGCAAAGAAGTAATTTAATCATGGACACTGACTAGGAGATCGACATTTTGTTGCTTTATACATTTTGTTGCTTTATTTTAACTGTTCACAGAAAACTCATCAGCACTGCTTTCAGCAAAAATCACATGGTGTCAGAGATCCTCAACTGTAAGAATATTGTCCCTCTGCTTTAGTTTTAATTTAGCCACTTATAATAAAATTATCTCGGCATTTGGGTCTTGGGATGTTTTCCAGGCTCTGGCTCAAAGCTCTTTTTTGCCTGGTTAATTAGAGCTTAGACCAGAGCAGGGGGAAGAAGAGGAGGAGACCAGCATTGCCCGCCAGGACAACTAGTAGCACCAGCTGTCACACAAGCTGCTGACTCTTGGCCCTCTGATTGCTCATGTAGAAGGAGTGCTTTGTTTTCCTTCACTGCTCTTCTCAACAGGGCAATGTGATCAATTAGTTTTCTTCCCTACCATGATGAATCTTCAGCCTGTGCTACCACCTGCTCCAGTTCTTTAACACTTATCCTCCTCACAGCACATCAGGTCCACTGTGCTGTCACCCCCGGTTGGGCTGAGGGCCTGGATTTGGGGCAATTCTGCACAAAAAAGCAATGTTTGCTCTGGAAACTCCAGATTAATTACTTCTGCATTTCTTGAGTCCCCCAAATTCAGCTAAATCCTCCATTTCAAGCCACTTCCAAAATAGCACCTCCATCACTTCTATCTAAGGACTGCAGGCAGGCAAAGAAATGTTCTATTTGCAAAACAATGAAACAAAATATCAGTTCTACCAACCAAGTCTAGGAAGGGAAAATCTAGGTTAGAATAGGAAAAAAAACAAAACAACCTAGCTAGTCATTTTAACCATGCTGTTAATGGAATGGCAATGCAGGCTAATGTTTGCCGTTTGTGAGAAAAAAGAATAACTTAACAGGGAATTGCTCTTCCATTATAACTTTGAAAAAACAGCAATGTAGAAATATATTTCCCAGCAGAGCTGTATCAAACATTTATGCTTTTACAGCTTTGCTCATGTCAAACAATACAGAACAGCTTTCCCAAGTTCCACTTGATGGAGAAAAGTATGCTGTACAGACTGACCTCAACACAAAAAATTAATGATAACATTGTAATTAATAAAACATTCAATAAAATCAAAATGGAAAATGTCTGCTATTTAATATAACCGTTCTATATTTCTGCATTTATTCAGTTCCTTTGGTATGGGACTCTGTGAGAATTTTAATGATGTAGACCACGGTAATCAAATAGACAAGTGCAGAAAAATTACACTTCTCTATAAGCAGTCACTTTCCCATTCTAAGAAGACTTTCTGTCTGTAGTAGAGTCAGTTCTGCAGATTGAAAATCTATTGGAAACACTCCTTTTAGAGTTTCTAATTCTCCTTTGAGTGAATGTTAATGTTTATCACAACAGAAGAAAATTACTGATACAGTTTAACTGCAAAGATAAAATATTTCAGTGCAGTAATGCACGTACATAAGAGACATCATAAATAAAAGTACATTTTTTTCTCTTTTACCCTCAATACCATTGACAAAACCACTTGGAGATTTGGGAATTTATCTGGCTTGTGAAAAGCTAAAATTGCCCTCTGGTGCATTCATGAAAAGAGTATTTCTTTCTAATAGGGTAATCTTCTTGAGTTTCTGTAAAAGCTACTTTTCTGCATTCCTTTCAGTTATCAATTCACTAATATTATTTCAATGCTCATATGTTGCAGATAAGTCCAGCAATAAATGCCTGATCATTTCTGATGCCTAATGCTCACCCCAGACTGTATCAAGGCATTGGGAATGATGCCCAGCAGAATAACCAGAAGGAAGAAGACAGGCCTGGGACAGGGCAAGGTAGCAGCAAGGCTCAGAGCGCTACAGGTAAACACACAGTTGGCAGCCAGGCCAGCAGTCAGGTTTATTTCACCCTTGGCTCTTCAGGAGACTGAGTGACTGCAGCCCAGATTAGTAGCTATAAACCTTAATTGCCCCAGGCAGCTGACAAGCACTCTCTCTACTACTGTTCACATTCCTCTGGCTTGCTGAGGCTTGGCTAGAGCATTCCTTCTTTACCCTGGCCCTGCATGTGCACATATTGGTGAATATTGTCCCTTCTGTTACATTTTTCCACAAACAAATATGACTTGGAAGCCTGGATTCAAATTTGCTCTTCTGTACACTTTTAGCCAAGAGTAGAACATAATCAGGAAGCTGCATATGGGAAGAAAAACACTGTCATGGCCAGATAAAATGGGCAAGACCAATTTTTGCCTGCATAGTAACAAATAAAAGTGACCCAGACCCTCTTCTTGGGTTTCTTCTGTATTTCTGGGACAGCACACAGCCAAGAACTTGAGCCAGAGTTTAAGATACAGTAAACTGTGGTTATGTTTAGCTAATAAAGCTTTGTTCATTTTTTTCAACTATTACACAGAGGGATATGCCAATGATATAGCTCATGAAGAAGGAATAAAAGACACTGTTGATTCCCTAGAAGTGCTGCACACAGAAAATCACTGTATACAAAGAACTCACTTGGCTACAATTGTACTTAATCATCATAAAAAGGAAAGTATGCGATCAGAAGGCTTAGTCGTCAAACTGCTGAAGAAAATTGAGTTGTCAGTATGACCACTAGCAATTACCTTGTCTTCAGATCAATAGACAACCTTGGTACTTATCTGATCACCAGCAATGTTTAGTGAAGCAAACCAAATTCAGGCACAAATATCCAATATAAAAGGATTTGATTGTATTCGTACTGCACTAATGGAGCTTGCTACCAAATTCAGTGGAAGCAGGAAGAAATTTACCGGGTGTCATGATTAGAATATTTGCCTTTTGTTTCTCTGCAATCAAAAGTGGCTTAAAATATATTATCCTTGGATTTTATTTTTCCTGTGTAATTTCTCAATAATGTAGTATAGGCACTAGTACTATATATTTCCTGACATAATGCTATTTGGTTTCCATTACAAGAATAAGATTGTGAACATTGAGAACAGTAGTTTGGTGGGTTTACCTACTATAATACATTTAATGTGCTCTAACCTTTCTCCAACACTATATCTTTTAGAGGTTGTGATGTCATTGGGCAGAGATTTTATGAAGAGCTTTCAGACAAAACCTCCGAACTGTGTTATCACAACGAAGACAAATCACTACTAATAAGATATTTGCTTAAGATGCACTTTAACTTGGTGGCTAAAAACCATAAAAATATTGGAATAATATTGACAACTTTCTGTAGAGTTATGCATCTGATTGAATTAAAAGAAAATTGTAAAACAAGGTTGTATCATGTAGAGAGCTAAGGATGGAAAGCTTTAAACCTCAGGCTTTTTACTAAAAAAACTCCAAATATTTGCAGACAACATGATCTATCATGTCTGCACAAGTGCAGGAATTACTTTAATGTGTCTAACAGAAGGGTAATTTAAGGGGAATTGGTTTTGAGTACTCCTCCTCCATTAGAGCCCAGCATGGAGTTTAACTTTTATCCAATGCCTGATTTGTTTTAATGCTAAATGATTCATGATACAGTATAATTTCATGTCAGGAAAGCAGGACCCTTTTTTATTACTATGACTAGATAATTTAGCCAAAGGATAATTTGAGTGGGTTTGTTGTTTGTTGTTTTAGCTTTTTTCCCTAGTGTCCTAAATGAAAATCTGATATCAGATACAATAATTTGAATCTAGGAAATATTTAATTGTAAATACTGAGAACTAATGCATCATTTTTAAACTAGTTATCTTTGTGCGTTACAGGGTGGTCATGTAGTGTTTTCTTTCTTTGAGATTATGGATATTTGAAGATGTCTTTGCAAGCTGGATCAGAAAACAGACTGTTTTCTGTATTTTTACATATTAAAAAAAATAAATCTGTATGTTATCCCTGATTTCACAGTTTTACACGGAGTCTAATAACGAAGAGCAAGGACCATCTTTATACAAAACCAGATGTTTTCTCAGTTGATAACTGTCATATCCTAGATCCTTGGCTTTACAGTGATGTCAACCACGTTCTAGATACTGGTTTGGAATAAAATGTTTTCCGTAGGCCTATTTTCATATTTAATTGTAGTAGTTACTTATACAGCAAGTGACTCAGGCATCTTTACAGTTTAACATTCATATTCTCAGGATAAATTGTATCAAGTAGTTTTAGTCTGACTTTCATAATTTCAAGGACTTCATCTTGCTGTGTGTGCACAAACACCTTTTTTGATAACCTCTAGGTCAAGAGGTTAGTTATGCAAAACAGTAATGTATAAGAGTGTTAGAGTAAAATGCTACTCAATGGTTGAAAAAAAAAACACCTAAGCTTGCCAGTCTTTCCAGTGCAGGAGGCTAGATATGGCAGAGTGAAATTTACCATGTGTACATTAGCTGTCTGAACAAAGCCACAATAGGCTTCTTAAAATGGAAAAGGATAAGTACACTTAGAAGGTGATTTTGTCTATTTCTATTTTTAGCAGAAACCTAGACTTTAGGGAGATAAAACTGGATCAGAGTCATCTCATTAACAAGTAGATGACAGGACTGGAATTATGTAGTCACAACTTCCATTCTAAAAATTTACTCTCTCTCTATCTACAAAAATACAGAATCACAGAATATTCTGAGTTGAAAGGGACCCACAAGGATCATCAAGGCCAATTCTTAAGTGAGTGGCCCATACAGGGGATTGAACCCATGACCTCGGCACTATTACCACCAAGTTTTAACCAACTGAGCTAATACCTGTTTACATAATTGGTAATTTTGTAATGAGATATCCCTGGAAAATTGCTTATATTCTTTTCTTATTAGTACCTAGACTGTTACAGAAACTGCTTTTCTTCCCTAAACAGGACAAGTAAGTCTATAACATTTTATTAATTGCAGACAGATTTGTATTCTGAAGCATGTGAAATGCAAAGAAGAACTATTTCTGCCTCAAGTAACTTTTGCTGTTGCACAGAGGCCTTTTTTGAAAATATAGGCAAAACCTGGGTGTTGGGACAGGGGTAGGGAGGTGCGGAGCTGAACAGAAGATGAAACATTTGCTACACTCACCCAGAGATGAAGACATGGGCAGGAGAACAAATTTCCTGACTGCCCATTATTCAGCCAGTAGGAGACAGTGGAAACTTTGAGGCAGGTTTTTCTAGAGACACCAAATGCAACACACTCACCAAAATGTGCCAAAAGACTTGCTCTCCCATTTCCCAAGCTACTCCTGCTTGCGCACCTTCACGTACTTCATCTGCTGGTGCGGACAACCTCTGCAGACGAAGACTATCCCGGTACCTTTCCATGGAAAACCCTTCCAATGGCTGTAAACGTGCTGGCATTGCCAAGGCTGATGCATTTACAGGCAGTTCCTGAGACTTCTCAAACTGCTCCCAGGATCAGCCAGGAGAGTAAAAACGCACACAAAGAGGTTAAGTTACAGGCAGCGTTCTTTCATTTCTCATCACTGACTGAGGAGGAGTTAATATGTAACCGTTGCTGGAAGAGATAGAAAAAACTTGGGCGATATTTTGTCTCAACACCTTGCATAAACAAGTCAGACTGTCTGAATTTATTGGTAAAGAAAAGTAACATCATTACTTGCTTACTAAAATCACAACAGACATTATAATCTAGTGTTCTGCAATACTTGCAGGATGCACTTAGTCTATGTGTCTCTTCAAAGCCACCCCTAGATAGCTATTTTGCATATACACAGGGGTTTTTTTTCTGGAAATGAAAACTATTTGTTCACCTGCTAAGGGATAAAGAAAGTATCAGAGGGCCATTTCCTTTTGCATAACATTGACAAGTTTTTTTAATCAATTTTTTTTTCCAGCAAATAAAACTTTTCCAGCTTCTTCTAGTATAAATTGTAGTATAAAAACCTCTACAGATATTTACTTCTTCTGCTTAGGGTGCTTCTATTCATGAAGCGGTTAACCTAAAGATGAATAAACCCCATCCAAATCCTTAAAAATTGCAAGTTTATTTCTATTCTAAACTGATTCTATGTCTATACAGAAATGATGTTTATTGGAATTGCACAGTAAAAGCACAGAACTACATGGACTTCGCTATGGTTAGGTCAATTGTTACATGCTGGAAGTTCTCTCAGGAGACATTGCTGGGGACAGAGACCATTGCTTCATGCTTGTCTTAAAGTCACCTGTTGCCTTGCTAGGATTGCTGTTGGCCAGGTACCAATTTCTCTGGCAGGAGTAATTTAGGAATTGAACTAGTAGTAAAAGAGATGTTTAGGGGCTATTTCTAAAGACTATTTTAGTACTAATAAGGAAGACACACTGAAGTCTATCCATCCTCTGGCCTTTAAAATAAGTGCCATGTCATAGCCTTTGCTGATATGCTTCTCTTAGTCCAATGCATTCACATTTTCCTATGGGAAACGATTTCCAGACTGTACTAATGCACTTGAACCAAGGTTCAAGGTTCAATGGCTGCTGATTGGCCTGGATCAAAACTGTGGTGAGGAATCTGCCAATAATTAACTGTGTAGGCAATTTTGTCACTGATTTGTCCTTTGGCTTGCTGGTTCACCAGTACCAATTTAGCCCAGGAGAACTGGGCAGAACCATAGTCTATTGAAACTAAAGAAAATTGAAGAAATCTGTCAAGCTTGTGTTACACACTCAGCACATGGGATTTCAGATCTGGTACAACACGCAAAGTAAATTAAGGTTCTTTGTGAAGAGTCAGAATCATAATTTATTTCCAGTATGTATTTGTCTCCTTGGAAACAGATATTCTACCTCACTTTTGATCTAAAGGGAACACAGTTAGCAGAGATGTTACTTACTTTGAGGAGAATCGAAACACACATTTTTATCAAGTCATCTCTTAAAGTGACACAATTATCATTCCATTTCTTCAGCACCAACTCCAAAGATACAGTGCAGGTGCACAGAAGTGGACAAAAGTCAGTCATCTACTAGACAGAAAAACCATATATTCCACACATTCAGAACCCTCTTTGACTATTGTCCAGTTCCTGGATCTGGTTATCCACTGCTGATGACTTCAGAGTGTGAGTTTTCTACCAGTGAGTGGTAGAAGAAGGGAATAGGAATGTCCAAATCATTCAAGGTCAGAAGTCTACGGTGTTTTACTCATACAGACTACTCTGTCCTAACAACCTAGCCTGAAACACCTTCTGTGATTGCTGAGAAATTCCCTTAGCACATAAACTCTTAAAGCAGCTCTGTCTTTGCTCAGTGTTTGCTAATGCTCATTTGAATGTGAAGTGACTATTCAGTTCAACGATGTTTACAACTCTTAGGATTTTTTATTTATGAGCATTCATACAAACAGGCTTTTTGTTCACACAAATGCTTGCTGAAGGGCTATTTTTCATATGAATACCTGCACTCAGAAGGAAACAAGTGTATTCACTCAGAGCAAAACTAATTGCTAACTCTTGCTATTTGCTGATTTTTACTCACACACATTTTACAAAACAATATATGGCAATTAGATAGCCAGTCACATGCCAGAACCAAAATGTCAGTAGATTCTGGCACTCCTGCTTAGGATGAGTAACATCTCATGAACAGCACTGATGACCTCAGTGGGACAATTTAAAATAAAGAATTACTCCACCAGGTAAAGCCACAGAATCTAGCCTAAACCAGAAAATAACTGTAGACTGCATGCAAAAAACAGTGACCCAAGTTCTGTGGTAAATACTTAAGGACAGGGGGATCAGACTTTTTTTGGTGTTTTTTGGTTGTTTTTTTTTCTTTATCCCAGAATGTCAGTCTCATTTTCCAAGTAGTTTCTATGCAGCAGCAAAGGGTTGTACAGTTACAGAACATTTGTCTGTCATAAATAACATCACAAGCTCTGTTATCCTTTCTTTTTTTCCCCCAAGGGGCGATAGTCCTTAAAACACCAATGTCACCTTCTGCCACACCTAAAGTTCATAAGAAACTAAAAGCATTAAGCAAAGGATGTGAGCAAATAAATGACAGAATCTGAGATGTAACCTGTTGAATAATATCATTTTATGGTGAAAGAAATCCAGGGTCTGATGCTGTAGGGCATCTACAACCTCTTACTTCAGCATTCATTTCCTACACAACATCCCCACTGCAAAGGTGTCAGACTCCTTCTTCCTACATACCAATTGCTTATATATAAAAGAAAGGTAGTATTAATGAAAAGTCAGCTTTACACTTTGGGAATATTTTTCATTTTATAATTTGGAGCTAAGTAAATCAAATTTTATTTCCAGTCTTGTTTTTCTGGAACTGGAGAAGCAGATTATAAACTCCTTTTCTCAATGTCTCCCTCCCTGTCCCATAGCCTTCAGGTCCTCCTGCAGCCTCACTTTCCAGTCCTATTCACCTCCATCTGGTCCTGCTTATGTCTACTGGGCAGACAGTGACTACACATGGAGAGCCTACATCTACACCTTACTACAGTTCAAGAATCTGTTCTGTCTGTTATCGCCATACAGATTCCCTGTCTTTCCTTTCTAGAGCCTTTTTCAATACTCAGTGGAGTGAGTTACTTCACAGGACAGTCCCTGTTCTTCCTCCCAGCTGAGTATGCCCGTGCTCCCCACCCTGCAGCTCTCCTACACTCTACCCGTACCTGGGGGGAACCCAAGCCCATCTGATGAAGGAATCTTACAATAGGATATACCCTGGCAAGATGTACATAAGATTATGAGATACTTTCAAAACAGTCAGAAAAGTATGGAAAATTAGAAACACTTTGAGTTTTGCTGATTCCTCTAAAAATTGAAAAACATTATCAGTTTTAAAAGCTGTGCTTTGCCACATTTCCCACATGACTATAATTAAATGGTTGAACATCCCTGTGTTTGATACAGAAGATTAAGTTTAATTATTGTTTTGTGCTAAGACGAACATTGGGGGGTGGGGTGGCAAATGATTTGTGCAAGTATGGTACTAAAACTCAGCCTTCCGAAAGCATAACTTTAGCCCCCTGCAGTTGCCAGATAACATTTCTGAAGTTGTTGAGATATTAAAAGGGTGGTAGTTTATTATAAAGCCATTTATATTTTGTCAGACTGTTAACAAGATTTATGTTATCTGTGCCATGCAACAGGAAGGCTGCTGCAGAATCCTTAATAACTTCTTACTATGCATGCCAAATTGTTGGTGCAATTGCCAAAGAGAGGAAAGGAATCAGATTATATTAGTAACAGCCTACATGAGTTGAGAGCCATTACCCGACCCTCTTTATACTGTTGCTTGATTAAATTCGTACTACATCGTTAACACATCAAATATTCAAAGTATCACAAACTTCAATATTATATTAAATTCTTGGAGTTAACAGAAGACAAGTTATATGTACTTCTGATTCCAAATATGAAATTGTGGGGTTTTATGTGTTTAGCACACTTTGATCTACATATATTTAACCATTCCATTTATATTTAATCATTTACCCATTAACAATTCCTTGCATGACAATACTAAAAGTACCAAACATGTGTATGCATCTATTTGTCTATATCTACACATACCCTGGTATATATAGTGTTATCCCAAGAATAACTGTTTTGAGTCTTCTCGTGCTCCTTTCTCTCCAATATAGCTCCTGAAAGACATCATTTGTCATCAGTTGATTATTGGCAGCCTTTCTCTAGCTGAATGTGTAGAAGTAACATTCAAATTCCTCATTCCATGTCCACATAAGCAGATGATACTTTCTCATGAAGGCTAAGAAATCCTATCTTGATTAGTGAGAATGGTGTGATTTTAATGGTGTGTTTTCCAAAGCCACCTTACAAGGTCACTATTCAAACCTACAGGTTCTTCAGGACTGCTGTCAATGGCCTGCAAAGAAAGTATTCTTAAGGATTCAGATTATATACACTACTTATCATGAAATGAAGTAGAGGAAGAAAGCTATCACAAATCCCTGCAGGTCCATCTATTCACATGCCTTCAGCAATCATTTATTACATGTTCCATGCAATAGTAAGTGCTTATCAAGTGCTCATTTGTAAATGATACAGAATTTTGAATACAATACTGTGTACATCTTGTGTGTATATTTTGTTCTTCATTCATTAAAGAGTAAGATGGATGCAAGTGACTCCATAGGCTATGCTCCTATCTACTCAGCATTCTTGTTTTGACAGATGAATGAGGTGTGAAGGCTGTGAAGCAGAAGACACCCTTTAATAATCCATTAACAAGCAGGAATATGCCTTCCCCAAGCAAGTGAAATGACAAGTGTGTACTTAACTCACTGACAAGTAAGAGAACTGACATCAGACATGTTCCCTTTTTTATGTTTTTCCTACACCAATAAAAACTGAGTGGACTGGTATATTAACCGAAAATGAGGTTCAACTGCTTTAGGTACCTAAATTGTATGTGATATTCATGTTCATCTGCATCAAAAACCTGACATCTGTGATCATTCTCAATCCCTGGAATGCCAGCTTGAATGACATTC